GCCGCCATGTTTATTCATCGGCCATTGTTCGGGCTGCCCCTTACGTGCGGGATGTTCATACATAGAGAGGAAGAATTTCACGCTATAAATCACGCTAAATGAATTGTTAATGTTCTCTTTTACCCCCTCCTCCCCTATGGCCTGTCCCAGTTACTTCTCTTCTCTCCTCTCTTGCCTTTCACGCGGCCTCACCATGGCGGGGGGAGGGAGGGGGGAGGAGGCGGAGGGGAGAAGGACGTAGATCAAAGATGATGGCTGAATGGTTATTGTGTTTTCTCTCTTTCTTTTTATCTCCTCTGTGCTCTCTCTCTCTCTCTCTCTCTCTCTCTCTCTCTCTCTCTCTCTCTCTCTCTCTCTCTCTCTCTCTCTCTCTCTCTCTCTCTATATATATATATATATATATATATATATATGTATATATATATAATATATAATATATATATATATATATATATATATATATATATATATATATATATTATATATATTATAATATATATATACATATATATATATATATATATATATATATATACATATATAATATATATATACATAATTACATATATATATATATATATATATATATATATATATATATATATATATATATATATATATATATATACACACAACATATATATATATATGTGTGTGTGTATCTAGGTATGTATATATGTATATGTATATGTATATACACAACACACACACACACAGACACACACACACACACACACACACACACACACACATACACACACACACACACACACACACACACACACACACACACACACACACACACACACACACACACACACACACACACACACACACACACACTATATATATATATATATATATATATATATATATATATATATATATATATATATATATATGAATAGATAGATACATATATATATGCATTTCTCTTTCGCTCTCTCTCTCTCCTATCTGTTTTATGTAACGAAATATGAATTGAATATAATACATTCAGTTTGAATGTATAAGAATGTGATTTGTTTACATATTTTTTTCATACGTTCCTTCGGGGTGTGATGCTCGTGCGTTCCCAAAGATGTAGGCTACAGGTTTATCTTCGAAGTACTTAAATGTTGCGACTTTAATACTTTGCTACAGAATTGTCAAAAAAAACACGAATAAAATCTGCTCTCCTTGTATTCTCTTAGATTTCCGTGTGGAAAGAGTAGTAATGATGTTCCTGTCACTCTCTGCCTTTTCTCTTATGGATTGCAAACACTGAAAGAGCCATACGAGACAGCAACACACACACACATACACACACACACACACACACACACACACACAACACACACACATACACACACACAAACACACACAAACAACAAACACACATACACACACATATACACTCATACAAACACACACACGCGACTCTACGAGCCTCTCTCTCAGGTCTCTGGACGATCGTCACGCTATCGAAAGTCAGAGGGAGGATTAGCACGGTCTGTAGGCATGGATCAGTCATTAGTCCATAATTTGTCAGTCACCGCGTTTTTTTTTTTTCTTTTCTTTCTTTTTGGTGTGTGAGGGGTGTTAATGTTTGCTAATGTGTGCGGATGTGTCTGTATATTCTTGTGAATGTATTCGCGAGCGTGTATGTTCGTGTGTGATTGTGTCTATGCGTATGTGAATGTGGACGTGCTGTGTGTGTCATATGCCAACCAAGATTGCAATTCTCTGTCTCCCAGTCCCTCTTCCACATTCCAACTTCTTTTCGAATTTTTCCTCGCTCTGATGACCATGACAAACCCGACACAGAAGATAACCCCCCTCTCTCCCTCTCACTCCCACTCACCCTGCCCCCCCCTTCCCTCTCACTCCCACTCACCGCCAGAAGTCAGCAGCTCCGTCATAGATCAAGTGCGGCAGAATGAAGTTGCGTTCCCTCCTGTGCCAGCAATTAACGTGTGCTTGGGGGTAAACACAGGCAGTTCCGGTGTGATGGACGGCAGAGAGCGCTGCGACTGTAAATATGGCGGTTTGCTGAATTTCGTACTATTAAGTAGCGCTACGCCGGCGGTTTTTGGCGAATTCATCACCCTCCCGCACTCGTTATTACGGACAATTGCTAATACCATTGGAAATTGCACTTAATTATGATCGCAGCGGAAATAAAAAATGAGAGAAAAAGAAAAAAAAGATGTGTCCTCATTTTCTAAATTGTCTCTTGTTTGATTAGCTGGTTTGTGTACATATCTATTCTATCGATTTTACACTGCTAAAGGGATGCGTGATTTTGCATAAACAGAGGAAGAGCTTGTCAGTCTATCCATCATGGCTGAAATTAGCTCTGATGTTTTGAGGATTTTCTCCGCGGACTTACGATTTCCGGCAGGATTGATGGATTATTTCCGGTCATCTTTGTGAAGTACAAACAGAGAGATATATTTTCTATATCAAAACGTTGTTCGTGTCTCGGTCTTCGTTTTATCTGTTCGTGTATTTATCTTTGTCTGTCTGTCTATCTATCTCACTGTCTGTATGCCTCTTCCCCACCCCCCCCCACCCTCTCTCTCTCTCATCTCTTCTCTCTCTCTCCTCTCTTCTCTCTCCTCTTCTCTCTCTCTCTCTCTCTCTCTCTCTCTTTTCTCTCTCCTCTCCTCCTTCTCTCTCTCTCTCTCTCTCTCTTTCTTCTCTCTCTACCTACCTAACTATCAATCTGGTAGCTACTATCATTCGCTCTTTCTCTCCTGTTCTCTCTTTATCTCCCTTTCTTTATTTCCTGTTCTCTCTCTATCTCTCATTCATCTTTTTCTATTTGTTCTTTATCTCTTGTTCTTTCTTTCCTGTTCTCTCTTTATCTTTCGCTCTTTCTTTCCTCTTCTCTCTCTCTCTTCTCTCTTCTCTCTCTCTCTCCTCTCTCTCCTCTCTCTCTCTCCTCTCTCTCTCTCTCTCTCTCTCTCTCTCTCTCTCTCTCTCTCTCTCTCTCCTCTCTCTCTCTCTTTCTCTCTCTCTCTCTTCTCTCTCTCTCTCTCTCCTCTCTCTCTCTTCCTCTCTTCTCTCTCTCTCTCTCTCTCTCTTCTCTCTCTCTTCTCTCTCTCTCTCTCTTCTCTCTCTCTCTCTCTCTCTCTCTCTCTCTCTCTCTCTCTCTCTCTCTCTCTTCTCCTCTTCTTTCCTCCTCTCTCTCTCTCTCCTCTTCTTCTCTCTCTCTCTTCTCTCTCTCTTCTCTCTCTCTTCTCCTCTCTCTCTCTCTCTCTCTCTCTCTCTCTCTCTCTCCTCCTCAATTCTCTCTTCTCTTCTCCTATTCTCTCTCTCTCTCTCTCTATCTATCTATCTATCTCTCTTTCCTATCCCCCCCCCCTCTCTCTCTCTCTCCTCTCTCTCTTCTCTCTCTCTCTCTCTCTCTCTCTCTCTCTCTTCTCTCTCTCTCTCTCTCTCTCTCTCTCTCTCTCTCTCTCTCTCCCCTTTCTCTCTCTCTCTCCTTCCCTCCCACGCCCGCCCTCCATCACCACGGCGTCCGTCTCATGGCCTCATAAATGCTCCATAAGTATGAGCACAAGTCAAACTGTCTCCCAAACTTTTCCTACATCGGCTGCGCTGCCTTCTTACCCTCGCGAAGACTGTGCATTTTATCGTGAATCGGAATCGTCTCTCGTCTCGTTTAATCGTTTTGAGATTTTTGATCCGTTGCATACGGGATTTTTGTTGTGTTGGAAGTACTGGTTTATAGATAATGATTGATGAACTGTTTCCGATTTTAGACTAATTGACAGTTTTAATGAATACTTAATAATATTGTAAGTTAAAAAGCGTAGCAAATGATGATCTGGTTTTAATTGATAGTTTGGAAAATTGCTCACTGCTTTTGGATATATTATATTAGTTTTATTTATATTTTTTGTTTTTTCAAAGCATTTTTTCTTTATCAATGATAAAAAGGATTGGTTTTGTGTTTGCTCTCGGTACTAAGTTTATATAAAGCATCCTTAATCTGTTTTGTCTTTTCTTCTTTTGATTTACTTTTAACGCGGATTGTCTTTTCACTGTCTCTCCTTTATCTTTTTTCTTGATCATGTAATCAACCGACCAGATCCAATACTTGTCTCAAGAAACTGCTGAATATAGAAACATCCTAAAAGCGTGCAGTTTTACCGTCTTGTTAAATCTATCATTAGCTAAGAAATTATTTCATGCACTGCGTCTCTCTATCTATCTACCTCTCGCTCTTTCTTTCCAACTCTCTCTCTCTCTCTCTCTCTCTCTCTCTCTCTCTCTCTCTCTCTCTCTCTCTCTCTCTCTCTCTCTCTCTCCTCTCTCTCTTTTCTCTTCTTTCTTTCTCTGTGTATCTGTTTCTCTCTCTCTCTCTTCTCTCTCTCTCTCTCTCTCTCTCTCTCACTCGATTTGCTCGCAAGGCCTTTCTTGTTATCGGTCTGTTCCCTGGATGCCTCCTTGCGGCCGCCTCCCCCTTCGTCGCTCTGCCTCCCTCGCATGCCTTCCATCCACGCTGTCTCCCTCCCCCCCTTCGACGCTCCTCGGCGCACCTTCCCTTTTCGACCTCGCCCCCTTGCCTTGGCCCCCTCCCCCCCCTTGCCATGGAACCCACGACGCACCCCTTTTCCTTCACCCCCTTGCCATAGGACCCTAGACCCCCCCCACCTCCTTGCATTAAGACCCAATCCCCCTCCTCCCCCTCCTCCCCCGGGCCCCCCTTGCCCTAGGACCCTTGACCCCTCCCCCGGCCCCCCTTTGCCATGGAATCCTATGCACCCACCCTCCCTATACCCATGGCACCCCCCCCTCCCCTCGCCCCACTTCAACGGTGGCGCCGCAGTATAGACGCGTCACATAAACAGTCTCGGAGCCGCTGCTGTGTTGGTGCTGGCTGGGGAAGGAGACTGAAGACTAGTCCGTGATTATCCCCCTAACCTCCCCGCCCTCCCCTCGGCCTCCCCCTCTCGCCCCTCTCCCCTCAGAAGACGACTTGCTATCATTCCCGACTGTCAGCGAGTTAA